GCTCCTTGGGCCGGGCGCGCCCACCCTCCATGGGGAGGGAAGAAAGCAGTGACAGCCCCCGCCCCCCCCGCCTCTCACCGTTGAAATCCCCGGTGTCCGCCACCACCGTGGTGTGGTGCTTGAGCTGGTCCAGCACCGACTCCATCTTCTGCCGCTTCACGGGGGACACCGACATGATCCGCGGGACGTGCGTGAGCCGGGACCGCGCCGTCTATGAGGAACCCGGAGGGGAGCCGGCCTGTGCGCGCACCCACCCCTCGCTCGCTCCCGACGCCAGCCACCCGCAGCCAATCGCATCCCAGAAGGGAGGCGGCGAGCCAATCAGGAGCGCGGAGGTAAGACGGACGAGACTGGGAGGAGCCGGGGAAGGAAGGGAGCCGCTGATTGGGCGGCTCGTGAGGGCCGGTGGTCACCTTGGTGACGGGGATGCGGCTGCCCCCGCTCCCCATTGCCCCCCGCGCCGGCAGGGCGGCCGGTGCCCGGGGGTGCTGCCCGCCCCGAGGGGTCCTCCTGCCCCTGCGAACCCCCCTGAGGCCTCCTCACCCACGGGCGAGCCGCCTGAACCTCCCTTAGACACCAGTTACCGTTGGGGCCGCGCCGCGGCGGTGCTCCGCCGCGACACAAGATGGCGGCGAGACGGGGCCTGAGGCGTTGGCCCCGTTTAGCAGCCGTGAGGAGAGGCTCGCCTCCGTTAACCGGTTACTGGAGCTCAGCGGTGCGTTTCCACCCTCGCTGGTGTGGCAGGGCTTGAAAGCGGCTTGGGAGCCAGGGCCCCAGCCCGCTCTGCCGGGTGGAGAGCCCCTAACCCGGCAGGGCATGCACCCGTGGGCACACAGGGCTGTTAATCCACCTAGGCTTCGTTTGAAGGAAGGCAACGCTGTTAACAGGGTTGTGATTCCAAACGGGAATGTTGCAGAGCCTGCCACTTGGCCTTTAAACAGGAGCTCTTTGGATCACGCTGTTCCCCTCGTTTTGGTTTGTATTGTTTTCATCTGGAGAAGCTGCCATGGTGATTTCCCTTCCTGATACACAGGAATATGCTTTTGTGCACTCTTCTGGTGCTTTGTTCTACCCAAAGGGATGATAATGGGAAGAGGCGTTGGGTCTGGATCCTGTCACTGTGTAGGAAACGTGTTCTCATTGCCTCCACAGTCCTTTGCCAAGGGATAAAAGAGGCTCCTTTGTGCATCCCTTCCCTTTGCTTTGTTCTTGACTCTGCGTTCGCTGGCATTGCCCATTTTCAGCTTGCCAGTGCAAAACGTAGCCTTGGGCGCTATGTGCATGCGTTGGTTCAACTGCACGTTCTAGAGCTGTGAGGAATCTGTTCTTCAGGATGATGAGTGAGGAGGGGATATTTGGGGTTCAGCTGGAGCTTTCCCAGCACTTGATTGGTACCACAGGTGGGATTTTCACCTGCCCCTGGTTTCGGACAGGAATGATTGTCAGGGCCCTAACACCTTCCTTTTGAATGGCATTCCCCCAGGAACAAAAGGAAACAGTTTCAGGTATTCCACTGTGTATCTCAGTCTCCCAGTGACATTAACCTGCCCGAGGGGAGACTGAGCTGAGCTCTTAGGCAGAAGCTCTTCCCTGTGAGGGTGCTGAGGCGCTGGCACAGGGTGCCCAGAAAAGCTGTGGCTGCCCCATCCCTGGCAGTGCTCAAGGCCAGGTTGGACACAGGGGCTTGGAGCAAGCTGCTCCAGTGGAAGGGGTCCCTGCCCTGGCAGGGGTTGGAGCTGGGAGAGCTTTAAGGTCCCTTCCAACCCAAAGCAGGCTGGGATTCTGTGAAAAACTAGTCCTTAAGAACTGCTTTTGTGTTTTATAGAATCATAGAATAGTTTGGGTTGGAAAGGACCTTAAGATCATCCAGTTCCAACCCCCTGCCATGGGCAGGGACACCTCACACTAAACCATGGCACCCAAGGCTCTGTCCAACCTGGCCTTGAACACTGCCAGGGATGGAGCATTCACAACCTCCCTGGGCAACCCATTCCAGTGCCTCAGCACCCTCACAGGAAAGAACTTCTTCCTTAGATCCAATCTAAACTTCCCCTGTTTCAGTTTGAACCCATTACCCCTTGTCCTGTGTCCTGGGTTTACCAGTGGCAGTCATTTTTCTCGGTAGCTGGTGCAGTGCTGTGTTTTGACATTCGGGCTGGGAACAGAGCTGAAAAACAATGATGTTTTGGTTTGACCAAGGACTTTGTGGGCCTCATGCTCTGCCAGGGAGGAGGGGAAGCCGGAGGAACAGAGCAGGACACCTGACCCAAACTGGCCAAAGAGGTTGCGTCATGCCCAGGAGGTAACTGGGGAGTGACCCGGAAGGGCTAGAGTGGACTGCAGGGTTGGAGGAGGGATCCGTCCGGTCGGTGCTTGACTGGGCTTGGGGGGTAAGTTATCGGTCGCCCGGTGATGGGGTGTTGTATTCTCTTCCTTTGTTATTTCCTTTATCATTACTATTACTGGTGGTAGCAGTAGTGATTTGTGTTATACCTTAGTTACTGAACTGTTCTTATCTCAACCCGTGGGAGTTGCATTCTTTCTGATTCTCCTCTCCGTCCCTCCGAGAGTAGGGGGAGGGCAAGAAGGGGGGGGAGTGAGTTAACAAGCTGTTTGGTTGGGTTAAACCACGGCATCCTGTCCCTGCAGTCCCTAATGAAGAGTCCGTCCCCCGCATCCTTATAGCCCCCTTCAGATACTGGAAGCTGCTCTGAGGTCTCCACGCAGCCTTCTCTTCTCCAGAGAAAGTGAAAGACACAGAGCCAGAGTTATAAGTATAACTTAGCTATTTTAATAAATCTTATACAGTGCATGGTTATATCATTTTATCCTTTGTTCAATTACATTAATGTACAGTACATTATAGCTTTATCTGCAGGCAGTACAAATATAACAGATGCACAGCTCAGTCATATGGAGATTTTAAAAGTGACTTCTGCATAAAGTCTACTGATACCTTTATGTTATGAAATGCCCCCGTGGCTCCCATCTTTCCACCTCTATTAGAATCCCAAGTAACTCTAATCCTGTGTGATTTCCCTTTCTTTATACCCAAAGCCCAGAAGGGTGCTGTGTTCCCTTACCTCACCATGTGGTTTTGTTTCCATTTTAGAAGAGATTCAGCCTCCTGTGCTTCAACACCTGCTTCCCATCTCCACCCAAACCCAGAGCCAGGGCTGCTCAGGAGGATTGGCCTCTTCATCCCTCCCTGACAAGGTGAGTGCCCTTTGCCAATTCCAGCTGCTGCAGTGAACCAGTGACTAAACCATGCTCCTCCCCTGTGAGTTCCCTGCCTGCACCCTGCTCCTGCTGGTGCTAACCATGTCCTAGTTCAAGATGAGGAAAAGATACACTTTTTGGAAGAACAAACCCTAAAAGGGAGAGGTGCATCAGTGTTCTCAGACTGAGACACATGTTCCCCAGTCCCTGCTTCGCAGCAGCATGGCTTTTGCTATTACATGTGCAAAGACTTAGGCATGTGCTTAGGCTTTAAAGGAGCTGGGACCATTGACAGCAGGTAAAGGAAAGCACATGCGCGTCTTTGTGGAGTCTGGACCTGACATCCCATTCAGCCAAAGTTAAGGGGTGTGAATGAAGGAGAAGACAAAGTGTTCATGGTCTGTGAGCAGCTCCTGTAGATGTGTTTGTTTAGCTGCAAGTCAGCGTGGAAGTAAATTCCAGATCTCAGTGCAGTCTGTGCCAAACTTGCTGTGGGCAGGAAATCTGATAGGTGCTTGTTTGAGCTTTTAAAGCTTTGATTAAATTACTGGTGCATAATCCCTTAATTTTGTCTCTAGGGAAAGGGATTTTTCCTTATGCCTATTTTGGATTGTAAGAATCGGGGGGTACTTCACTAGATACATGTGCATCTGCACATAATGTTATTAAGAAAAACAGGAAGTGAAGAGCAACAGCCTCTGTTAAATTAATTTGTTGTTTTTTTTCTTGTGGCCATTTACTCTATTAAAACCCTTTCCCAGTGTGCTTTTGTTTCTTAAGTTATTTAGGAAGCATTTCAGATTGCTCTTGGCAATGAAAACATGAAGGTGGGGATGAGGTTGGGAGCAAATAGCAGGGGCTTTTCTTCAGCTTGTCTCAGGCCTGGCTTTGGCAGTGCTGCAGCTCTGTGGCACAGGATCAGTGCCAAGGTGATGGGCTGCAAGGCTGCCCTGAGCCCTGGCCTCTGTGCAGGCAGGGATGAGCACAGGATCACAGAATGGTTTGGGTTGGAAGGGACCTGAAAGCTCCTCCAGCTCCAACCCCAACCCCTTCCACTGGAGCAGCTTGCTCCAAGCCCCTGTGTCCTTGAGCACTGCCAGGGATGGGGCAGCCACAGCTTCTCTGGGCACCCTGTGCCAGCGCCTCAGCACCCTCACAGGGAAGAGCTTCTGCCTAAGAGCTCAGCTCAGTCTCCCCTCGGGCAGGTTCAAGCCATTCCCCTTGGCCTGTCCCTACAGACCCTGGGGATGGAGTTTTTACAAGGGCCTGAAGGAACAGGACAAGGGGGAATGGCTTTGAAAACTGAAAGAGGGAAGGTTTAGATGAGACATTAGGAAGAAATTCTAATGTCTTCCTACTGCTGGGCCTTAGCTCACCTACTTGCAGATTCAAATCACTTGGCCATTGTGCTCATTGTGTAATGAAAGCCAATTGCCACTGTTTGAAGACAGTACTAACTGGTGCAGGAAGGAAGCAGCCAGTCTTAGATCCTGAGTGCTGCAATTAATCCAAGAGAGGGGGCATGGGGGCACAGAAAGAGGACAGCGAGTTCTCACAGAGTCTCTGCAGGGCCATGGAGAAGGAAATGCAAAAGTGAGGAGGAAAAGACTTATTTCTATGGTCCAGACCACACATTCAGGCTGGCTCATTCCCTGCGTGTGCCATGCTCTTCCCAAGCCATGCCAGCAAGGGGGGTCAGAGCAGGGACAGCCCTATGAGGAAAGCTTTGTGGGGTGTTTCTAGCTCAAATCCAGCCATTGTCCGGCATTCAGCCACGTGTGTGAATTCTCTTCTGCTCTGTTGCATGCACATAAAATTTCAGTATAAAATATATAGTTATATAAAAAAAAATACTCCATGCAATATTAAAACACCTTTCCCAATGGAACATGGTCTTACTGTCTACCCTTCTCACCAGTGTTCATGAAAGTGTCACTTTGATGGCAGGCGCACACCAAGTGCAGCGCTGCTGTCCCTCACCTGGAGCAGGGGGCGTTGCTGCCGTTCCCTTTTCCTGCACTACTAGGACTAAGAGCTCAACTAAAGCAGAGAGAGTTTAATTAGCAGAATCAATCCTTTCCTGGCGGCGCTTCATGATCTCCTGCAGCTCGGATTCCCCTCTGCTCTTCTGGAATGGAAACAGAACAGGAAGGTTGAATTGAACTTCAAGCTGGAGTTAAAGTATAGTATTTAAATGCTGGAAGAGTAGAGCTGTTTTCAAAGGGGTGAGTGATACCAGTGAGAGGGGCATCAGGTTCATTAATGGAAAGAGGATGATGTGGGGCCTTTTGCTTACAACACTTATCAGCATTTATTGGTTGTGTGGTTTCTGGTTGGTTGTTGGGGGTTTTAAGTTGTATTTCATGAGATGTGTGTTTAATGGGATACCTGCCACTGCTGGTACAAGCACCCATTCAGGCAGGAACTGTCCCAAAAGCTACTTACCTCCAGCTGGTTTTTCTCCACGGTGATTTTACTGTAGACTCTGTTGCCCTCATCACCACACACCTTCTTCAGCTCCTCCCTGTTGAGGGAGAAGAGCTGGGCTCCAGTGAGGATCCCAAGGTGTTCCACTGTCCTGGGAAGACACAAAGTGAGATGGTGGTTGTGTTACACATGGCCTCCTGCTAAAGGTGAGGAGTCAGAGATCAGAGGGCTTGGAGCAGGTGATGTGCAGCTCCTACACCAGCAGTTTATCACACACAAGGCCCTGGGGCTGTGCCAGGGTGACAGCTGTTGGGTAACCCAAGCTCTTGGCAGGGGTGACAGGACACCAAGCTGTGAAGAGTGGGTGAAGCCACATGTCACCCTGGCACCCACTGTGTACCCAGCCCACGGGCATTGCAGTGATTTCACTCCAGCCACAGCGTGTTTGGGGAGCAATCCTGGAGCTCCTCTTGGCTCCCTGTGCAGAGCGTGGGTTGTAGCTCTTAACCCTTGACCATGCACAGCTTTCTGGTCCTGTGCTGGTGGCTGAGGAGGGTCTGGCTCTTCCTCTCTAGGACAGCTTAGAATCACAGAGTGGTCTGGGTTGGAAGGGACCTTAAAGCTCATCCTGTTCCAACCCCCTTGCCATGGGCAGGAACACCTTCCACTGGAGAAGGTCCAGAGACAGGCAGTCACCTGGAACTGGCACTTCAGGCCATGTGCTTAGTTACTTCACCAGTTATTTCTCTCTGAGCTCAGCACTCTGAACTGGGTAACTGGGACCAGACAAGCACCAGTGGCAGGATGTTGTGCAGTGCTGGGCTGTGAGTTGTGGGAATAAGCAAGACCGTTCCTTCATTTAGCTGCATGTTAGGTCTTTGGCTGCATTGCAAGGCAAGGTTTACTTGATAGTGTAGAAGGAAGAAAGGGAGTAAGTTTGTGCTCTGAATTGAATATGAGATATTAAATATAGCCTGGATTTAATATGCTTGAAATCTGATTTGCAACACAGACTCTGTAAGTAAATATAAATGACTTCTAATCCAGCTGAAACATTGCAAGCTGCCTCCCCCACTCCTTTCTACGTTAAGGACAAGCATTTCATAGCAGTAAATTGGATCTTACTCTTTGCTGAATGACTTTGCCTCCAGCCAAGCTTTGACTTCTTCAGTGCTGGACTCGAAGGTGAGGGGCACAAAAACCTGCTGCGGCTTTTCCACTTTGAAATTCCGATGAGGAGGCTGAATTTTGTTGTTTGTGATCTTCTTTAGCAGTTCATCGTTCAGCTCATCCATTTGATGAATCAGTTCTGGGGAAACAAGGCACCAGGTAGAGAGTAAGGGAAGGCAATCAAGCGTTCAGTCAGAAATCCTCTGAAATCGATGTGTTTGTGGAGAGACTGTGAGGAAGAGCACATGTGGCTCAGCATTTTTATTAACTCTCTAGATACACCAAAGGAAAGTGCTTACTTTCGTATTTTAGCTGTAAAGAACAGGCTTAAGTGCTTTGTTAGAGCAATAGGTTGAGCAATGACATTCTGACCTTTGTATTTCCATCAGGAGCAAATGTGTAAAGGAGCCCACTACAGCTTTGGAGGCTGGCAGGCCTCCAATGGGAGCATCCTATGGGAATCTGCCCTTTCCTCTCAAGCCAACACTCTCCACTTCCTTCAGCTTTTGGAACCTCACTTTCTCTTTGGGAGAAACTTCGATTCTGCAGTTCTTCTCCCGAGTGATGGAGAGGAGAAATCACCAAGTAACAGCCGAATGATCATTGTTCACACAGTGATCACTGAGGCTGAAAAGCTGCTGAAAGGTTTCTTGCAGGGCAACTGTCTGAGATTTTGGCCTCATTTCTTCAGCTACATCCATTATGGTGATTGGAGAGCCTTGGAACAAGTGCTCCTGCTCCTGGGAGACATTAAATCTCTGGTTCTGCTGTTAACCAGCATCAAAATCACTGCATAATTTCTAGAGGAAGGTATATTCTCTGTCCAGGTACACACAAACATACTCTGAGCTGTCTTAGTGAGCACATAACTAAGTGGAGATTGCTCTGGTGTGCAAGAGGAGAGCTTGCATCTGCAGAGGCATTTGCTTTTAGCCAACAGAACTACACCACCAACCAACCAGCCTAGAGAGTTCTTGGTGAAAAGCACTTGTTGGGTGTTGTATTTAGCAACATAATAGGAAGATGCTTTGATAAGAACACATTCATTTTGGTTTTGTGACTGGTGTTTGTCCTGGGTGCTGGGAAAGACCCATATTTTCACCTGTTCTCATAGAATCCCAGAGTGGTTTGGGCTGGAAGGGACCTTAAAGCTCCTCCAGCTCCCACCCCAACCCCTTCCACTGGAGCAGCTTGCTCCAAGCCCCTGTGTCCAACCTGGCCTTGAGCACTGCCAGGGATGGGGCAGCCACAGCTTCTCTGGGCACCCTGTGCCAGCGCCTCAGCACCCTCACAGGGAAGAGCTTCTGCCTAAGAGCTCAGCTCAGTCTCCGCTCTGGCAGGTTCAAGCCATTCCCCTTGGCCTGGCCCTAGAGGCCCTTGTCCAAAGCCCCTCTCCACATTTCTTGTAGATTTTATATGTATATAAATTGTATATTTTGTATATATAATTGTATATTTTATATATATACAGATTTATATTTGGTCTGACCTTGTTTCTCTTGTTACTAACTTCTCCTGTTCACCACCTCATTCAAAAGACATAAACCCACCACACCAACCAGCACAAGTTTGCTCAAGGGTGTAAACCTGATCTGGTGGTGTCTTTGCTCCCACTGGTGCTGTGAAGTGGTGATAAGGGAGAGGGTCCCTGATGCCTGGTGTTGCTGTTGTGGTTTTGCTTTAGTTTGTCATCTTCCTCTTTGTGAGTTACTTTGTTCCCTTCAGGCTATTGAAATAAGGAAATTGCTCTGCAACTTAGCAGCAGGAGGGGGAAAAGCCCCATGAGACAGCAGAGGTCAATGAGGCCCCACAACCTGCTTCTGGGAATGAGGTTCCCATTTTTCCTGCCCCTCAGTAGCCATGTATTTCCCTCCTGTTGCCCTTCGCTGTTGCCTGATGTGGAAGGCCAGTTCTGTGAGTACCTAGAATTTGAATGTTGGGTTTGAGCCCTGCTCCTTTTACTTTTCAGTCATCTGCTACTTGCAATAAGGAATTCACTGATTCCATTTCTCAGAGCTCCAGCTTTTGCTGGACAGCTAAATAGAAGCAGCAGGAAGCATGAGCTGGGAGTGAGCAGCATGCTCAGCCAGTGTCAGTTTTTCCATGGAACTCCTAAAGACTGTGGAGAATAACTGGGTGTTATTAATAGGTACGTGTCTGTGATGCTCATGTTGTGGGGCTTTCCATCATCCCAGAACAGCTTTGACTTACAGGAGTCCACAGCAGCTGAACAAGGGATGAATCCTGATTGTGGTTTGGGGAAACAGCTTGCTATGGGTGTAGGGAGGGTGTGATGGTGGTGAGGGGCGCAGGGTCCTGGTTTCCCCATGCTCTGTGACTCCACACATCATGCACAGGGCGAGGGAGTGATGTGAATGTGGTACGTGGCAGATCTGCTGCCAAGGGCTCACTGGAACCGCAGGAAGGAACAGGCCAGACGGTGCTGCCTGTGACAGGAGCAAAGGAATCCAGAGAAAGGGATGACCTGGATGTGTGTGTTTGTTCAACCACACTGAAATGCTCTGGTGGGAAAGGCAACTCTCCCTGGGAGGAAGGCCAAGCTGGAAGGAGGGTTAAGGTGCTTGTCCCAGGCTGCCTGAGAGCCTGTGAGGCCTCAGCACTGCTCTATTGCCTGTTGTACAACCTGGAATCTCCTCCAGCACCACTGCTGGCCTAATGCTTATCACTAAAAGCTGCAGGAATTCCTTGTGCAGAGCCTTATGAGAGGGAACACACTTGGATAGGTCTGGTTACACATTCACAGTGACCAAAATAGTGACCAGACTATGGTGAAAGCAAAGAAAGAAAGAAAACCACTGGGACTGAGAGTGAGCAAACCCAAAAGCGTGTGCTCACAGAGACTTTTCAACTAAGCCCCAAAATGCAAAGCCACAGTGCCACGTTCTCTGGCTGCCTGAGGCTGCTGTGTGACATGTGGAAGGTGCCTGATGCTGGGAGCGTGGTGAGGGACACACAGAATCCCAGACTGGTTTATGTTGCAAAGGACCTTGAAGCTCATCCCATTCCAACCCCTGCCATGGGCAGGGACCCCTTCCACTGGAGCAGCTTGCTCCAAGCCCCTGTGTCCAACCTGGCCTTGAGCACTGCCAGGGATGGGGCAGCCACAGCTTCTCTGGGCACCCTGTGCCAGCGCCTCAGCACCCTCACAGGGAAGAGCTTCTGCCTTAGATCCACCCTAAATCCCCCATTTCAGTCTGAAGCTGTTACATACGTTCTTTGGCATCCTGGGGAGAGTTACGGGATAACATTTCACTTCCCCATTTATCCCCAGCATAGCTGGCAGGCAGCTTGTGAGTTGGGCTGGATGGTCCATATCCTCTGGGGCTCAGGTCTCCTTTGTACCTCTGGTTGGACTGGGTAAGAAAGTGGGAAAAAAAAGGATGTGTAAGATCTTTTATGGCCATTTTTCATTTTCTTGAACTTTTTGCCTCCCACCCACAACAGCAAATAGAGGAATAAATCACTGTGCTCTCCCTGTGCTGCTCCAGCGCTGCTCAGCTGAGGCTCGTGGGACTCAGGTGGAGCTGCATGGAAGAAGTTCATTTCTGGGGTCTCACAGAACCCAAAGGCTGTGAGAAAGCATTTGCACCCCCAGAAAAGGTGTCACACTTGTCACGCTATTCTCTGCATGCTTACTATGCTGTAGATGGCTATGCTCACACTTGCGACTCGGCCCTTCAGCCTTTTGCTGTGCAGAAATCACTGCTCGCAGGGCTTCCTTGGGGATGCAGAGCATGGGAAGCAAATGATTTTCATATGAAACCAAGCAGAAAGCCCATGTGAAGCTAAAGCATCGCTGCTGTGGTGACTGATGTGAAGGGACACCACTGCCAAGTGCCTGGAGCAGTCTGGAAAGAGTTCCTTGACGCTTTGGTTGAACTAACAGAGCTTCTACCCACAGGCCTGCTGTGGCACCTTATGCTTCGGCCAAGCTGAGAAATACCAAAGGGAGGAAGCAATTCCATGTTTCCTTAGGGCATTTTGAGCTCTCCAGCTCATTTTTGCAATGCAAGGTGCTTGAGAGCAATATTCACTTAATACTCATACAGGTGGTATTTCCATCTGCCTCCACTCCAGTAACTTGTTCCTGCTGCTGAACTGAACTGGACGAGGGAATTGTCTGTCTTTAATTCAACTCCCAATAAAATTTTCATCATTTTCATGGCAAAATTAGCCTTTATGGCTGTTTTATGGCTGGTTTATGGCTGTTTGTGGTCTTTCATCATGTTCACAGCCCAGCCCTGAGAGCAGCAGGGTTCTACAACAGGGGAGGGGTAAACCATAGACTGAGAAGGACATGGGTTTGGGAGGAAGGCACTGGCCAAAGGTGGAACTCTCAGAAGCCACTGTATCCAGCAGCTGTTTGATGACACCTCAGTGTGAGACATCTCCTGTTGGGGTGAGAAGCCATGGTGCTAGGCTGGGGTGGTTGTCCCTTTCATTCAGGGTCATCCTTCATAGCAGGCTGCTTCTGTAGCACAGGGCTCAGCCTTCCTGTCCCATGACCCTGCCTGCCAGTGCTTCACATCTGGGAGCAGGAGGAAAGCATGAGGCTGCTGCATGGGTGGGAAGGAAAGCCCTGATTTTGGGGAGGCAATGGTGACAAAATGTGAGAGCTTTATCATAGGAGACTCAGGAATCTCCAGCATCCTGGTTCATCTATATGTGAGGGTTCATCCCAAGCTGTGCACAGCATCCTAAGAGCTCCAGGGAGGTCTAATTACAAGGTTATCTCAGAGGCTGGTTGTGGTCTGCAGCTGGGTACCAGTTAAACACCACCTGAGCACAGACCTGTTCAAGCTCATCCAGTTTCACCACATCCAGGATGTTGTAAGGGACGTATCCAGCCTGCCCGCTCCGGTTGAGCAGCTTCCACCACTGCTTATTGTCCTCCAACACCTGGGAGAGGGGGAAGAGTAAACTGGTGAGTGAGGACATCAGATTCCTGCGTACATAAAAGGCATAAAGTGGGAATAAAGGACACAGTAACGTGAAGCTGGCAGAATAACATCACTGTGGCCAGGAGCTGGGAAATGGGTATTGCACTCATTTGTAGTTCAGGATTGAAGCCTTTCCTGAAAAGCATCAGAACTTACCCTGATGATGAACAGGAGAGCATCGCTGCGGGGAACAGATCGGGGGGCTCAAGAACTCATTGTTTGTAGAATCCCAGACTTGTTTGTGTTGGAAGGGACCTTAAAGCTCCTCCAGCTCCAACCCCTGCCATGGGCAGGGACCCCTTCCACTGGAGCAGCTTGCTCCAAGCCCCTGTGTCCAACCTGGCCTTGAGCACTGCCAGGGATGGGGCAGCCACAGCTTCTCTGGGCACCCTGTGCCAGCGCCTCAGCACCCTCACAGGGAAGAGCTTCTGCCTAAGAGCTCAGCTCAGTCTCCCCTCGGGCAGGTTCAAGCCATTCCCCTTGGCCTGTCCCTACAGGCCCTTGTCCCAAGCCCTTCTCCAGGTTCCCTGCAGCCCCTTTAGGCACTGGAGCTGCTCTAAGGTCTCCCCTTCAGGAACCTTCTCTTCTCCAGGCTGCCCTAGCCCAGCTCTCCCAGCCTGGCTCCAGAATGATTTTTAATGTATTTTACCACGTAATCTTCTCAGAATGGATGAGCTTTGCTGGCAGTTCCTCATTCTAGCCATTTTTTGAACAGAGTTTTGAATAGAAGTCTTTGTTTCAAGTCAGATATGGTACAATTGGTGTGTAGACCAAGTCCCCCCCTACATTCTCCAGCTGCCAGCAGCGTTGGGATACGAGAAAGGTTATGAAAAAGGATGTTTTCATAGAAAAGAATTCCTGGGGGAGGGCAGAGTGGCAATAATGAACCAGAAGGTGGGTGAGGATCATATACAGTGACTTGTTTTCCTTCCTCCTGTGACTGATGTGTTCCAGTTTAGCAACGAGCCAGTGCTCAGCCAGCCTGCTCCAGCTCAGAGGTAAAGCTTAGACCTGACCAAACTTCATGTTACTGCTCAGAAACACCAAGGAAACACGAGCTGGGACCTGCCAGGATCTCGAGGTCTCTCCCTGTTCCCAGCAAGGGGATGAGGCATCAGCCCATTGACGTACCTCCAGGATTTCATCCTTCAGCACTGAGAGTTCGTTGGCATTTCGCGCGGTGAAATCGTAGCGGATTTTGGCATATCTCTTTGGTGGAGCCATTCCCTGGGCCTCAAAATTCCTGCAGGAGGGAAAGCATGGAGGTTGAATGCACAGCCACCTGATCACTGAAGCAATGGAGGCTCACTGGGGAAGAGGAGTGATGGTTGTGCAGGGCAGGTAGTGTCAGCTGTGCTTGTGTTAGAAGGGGGCAATGCTCCTTTCTCCTCTATCCTGAGGGTGATTTTCCCCCCTTATTTTAGTGACACATCCCATGTTTGGGAACAAACACACACAACAAGCTCTAGGGCTGTTGGTTAGTGACCTTATTAAAGGGAACTATGAGGCTGCTGCTTTCAGGGTGGAAGAAAAGCCTTCTCCTGTTAGCTGCTGCCTCACAAGGACTGGGGAGACTGGGAAAGCACAAACATGTTCTGATTGCACCTCCTGAGAGCAATCAGGTGGGAAACTCTCTCATCCTAAGTGGAAACAACTGCTCCATATATGCCAGAGAGGGGAGAAACAGGCCCCAGTGCTGGGGGAAGTAGTGTTGGGAACAAATACAGGCAGAACTGACTGGAAATCTGTGTTTTTCATCAGGCAACAGTGAGCTACTGACACAGAATCTGCAGCTTCTAAGGAAAAGTGAGTTTGAATGTTTTCATTCTGGGGTGGGGAAGAGGAATGTGTCTGAATGTGTTGCTTGGGAATTCCTGACACAAGCATCTGTGGCTTTCAACACTGAACTGGCTTTTCATGTGGGGAGAGACAAAATAAATATGGTAGATTGGAAAAAGTGGTGGAGAAGTGGAATGAAAGGTTCCCTTTGAGCCAAACTGAACTGGTTTCTTTTATCCCATGGGTTTTGCCTGGCTTAGGAAAAACTGCAGATCTCACCTTTTCCTTCTCCAGCTCAGATGTTACTTTATAATCCCAGAAAGGTTTGCAGTGTGGAAATAGCAGGAAGGAGCTATTTTAATGCTCTTCAATGGATCTTTATGCTTCTGGCTTGCAATCTGCATAGTTACCACCTGCTGTAGGAGGCCCCTGGGTGCTGTGTTCAGGGTGGGCACAGCGTGGGGCCAGGTTCTCCTCTGTTTGTGTTATGTGTAACTCAGTGAAGGCAGTGCTGTGGGGTGTAACCTGATGGTTTTCTGTGATCAGGGGTTTTAAATCCATGAGCTGTGGAACCTGTGGACTGTTTCTGAGGCACCCGTAAAACCTGACTATGAAAAACAAGCCCATCATGCTTCCAGTTCATTTCACTGTCTTCATTAGGTGGCTTTTGGTGGTGTGAACAAGGTTGAAAACATTGCTTCAGTGGTTTGATACCATGCCTGTGGCTGTAGTTTGATTTGGGACAGCTCTTGGTCTGGTTACAGCTGTGTGCAATACATAAGGTGGGAGTCTGCAGTGGAGGAGCAGCCTCGCAGGCAGGTGGAATCCATCAGCCAGCAATGGGAGTGGTGGCCTTACCCTGAAGGTGGGGACGGGGGAGGCTGGAATTCCATCTCCTGTAGGATTCCAGAGGCGAGCTATGAGGACTTTGAAGCTACTGTGTACTTTGCAGGCACGTGGATTTTGCACAAGTGACCTTTGCTGATGGTTGTAATGTTGCTTGGGGCTTTCTTGACACTTCTTTGGAGCTAAAATCCCTGGTGTAAACAGGTATTACGTACTGATGCATGGCTATTATTGGTAATACAGAGGCTCTGGGTTGGCAAACTACATCAGTGCACTCTGAAAGAAGCATGAGTAGAGCAGGAAATGTCTGTCCCAGCTGTGATTGTGGCAAACATCTGGACACACCTGGTTGAGGTTTGCTCTGGGCTGAAAGAGGAGTCAAAGCATGTTCTCAACTGTAGCATCTGCTTCAGTGCCTTTGACTTTGAGGGTTTCTTCCTTAAATGCTATCCATAAGGAACTCTTGGTGTGTCAGTCTGGAAAGCAGGTAGAAAGCTACACCACCTACCCCAGGAGAAGAGAGATCCTAATCTACTCCCCAAGCCCACACTGTAGTTAGACTGGGTGGTGTCTCAGGGAGATGGTCACCTTGGTAAGAGGCACACTGTTGAGTTGTATTTGGGACTCAAACTACTATCTATAGTGCTGAGACTAACACTAAAGACAGACTTGAATCATAGAGCCACAGGGCAGGTTGGGTTGGAAGGGACCTTAAAGCTCACCTAGCTCCAACCCCTGCCATGGGCAGGGACCCCTTCCACTGGAGCAGCTTGCTCCAAGCCCCTGTGTCCAACCTGGCCTTGAGCACTGCCAGGGATGGGGCAGCCACAGCTTCTCTGGGCACCCTGTGCCAGCACCTCAGCACCCTCACAGGGAAGAGCTTCTGCCTAAGAGCTCAGCTCAGTCTCCCCTTGGGCAGGTGATGTTCTCATGTAAACGAAGCTCTCTTTATTCTCCATAACCTCCCTGAGAAACATGGAATTGGAGAGGAGAATCTGTTATCGTAATTCTTTCCCTACTCAGTGCTGTGTCCGTACTGTTTTATGGTCCCACCAGGACCTTTGATGGGGTGAATGAGAAGAATAAGTTATTTTGCTGATATAGTTGAATTTAAGGTATTTTGCTGCCAGTTTGAACTTTGTTGTAGTAGTAGAGCTTATAAATCTTTTGGATTAGACATAAACCCATGAAAACCAGTCTGGCTTGAAGGTTTTCTCCTAGTTTAGGACTGGCTATAGAAGAGCTCATGGCTGAGGGCTTTGCTGGATCTGACCTACCAGTCGTTGAGGAGCTGAAGCTGATAACTTCATGTCAAATCCCTGCACAGTGGAATATGGCAAAGGATTCAGTTTGGGAAGAGTTGGTTGAAACTCAGGTCTTGTAAAATCTCAAGGGCCTGAGCTCATGCAAATAGGTGAAACCCTTAAAGCTTTGAACCAAAAGCTTTGGTTTTATACAGATTTTATACCACTGAGTAACTGGTAATGGAAAACTGGCTGTAGGGCAGAGTATTTGCTTAGATTATAAAAGAACAGTGTTTCCACTGGGAAAAGGCTTGAGGCAAAGGGGTGGCCTGGTTGGTTCTGGGTTGGGAACTGAACTTCCCAAGACTCCTGAAGAAAGTGGAAGGGGTTTTACCCATTTTCTGGATTTATCCCATTAAAAAGAGCTGTCTGAAACCAGCACCCTACCAGTCTCCTGATGAGAGAGGTGGGCAAGACTGGAAACACTCATGCTTTACTCAGCTCCTAATAAATGTGCTTCCCTTTGGCTGTGTCTCAAAGCAGAAGAAGGAGCTCCTGCCTCCAGAGAACCAAACTGGTGCTTCCTCAGCTGAAATGTTTTCCATGGTCAGGCTGCACCTCTGAACGTTGGAAAGCTCTCATGAGCCTTAGTACAGATTCTTCCTATGAGCAGGTTCCTTCTCTGCAAGCTGCTGTGGCTTTGGGATGGTTGGGTGAATGGCTGCTAGCTCTTCTTAAGGCATGGAGAACAAAAGCAAGGTGACTTTAGCACATGATCCTTAATATCACTTTGGTGGGCTGGTGCTCTGAAACAAGACCTAGTGATTGAAGTCTGTATTTTCACCTCGTGTGGTGGAAATCACATGTAACTCATTTCCCACCAGCAGACCTCTGCTGTTTGACTGGTTCGTGTGGGTAACCTTTGAGTTCCCTGATCTGGTTATCAAGTCTGCATTAATAATGGCAGGGTGTTACCTGCCACATGCAAAAGCATCCTGGTGCTGTGATAGGTTGTGGTGTGTGTTTATGAGGTTGCACGGGGGAGCTGGGTGGTGCTGGTACAGTACCTATTTACATGCTGAGTTACATTCTGCTTGAAGGCATCCACAGCCTGGCTCTGCTCAGTGCTCTGGCCACGCATGAGAGAGGAGTTCCGGTAAGGATATCCATTGGCTGATGAGAGCTGGGAAGGCAAAAATGGAGCCAGTGTTACCAGAGAGGGGAAAGATGTAGCAAAGGAGAGCGATAGATGAATCGTGGCCTGGAAGCTTTTGGTCATGAGGAGGTGAACACCAAAGAAATGTTCTTCAGGCAATCTTGTATCTGTGGGGCTCAGTTATCACAGAAACCTAGAATGGTTTGGGTGGAAGGGACCTTAAATCTTCTCCATTCCCAGCCCCTGCCACGGGCAGGGACCCCTTCCACTGGAGCAGCTTGCTCCAAGCCCCTGTGTCCAACCTGGCCTTGAGCACTGCCAGGGATGGGGCAGCCACAGCTTCTCTGGGCACCCTGTGCCAGCGCCTCAGCACCCTCACAGGGAAGAGCTTCTGCCTAAGAGCTCAGCTCAGTCTCCCCTCGGGCAGGTTCAAGCCATTCCCTTTGGCCTGTCCCTACAGGCCCTTGTCCCAGGCCCTTCTACACTGGATATAGTGTAGGGCCCCTTTAGGTATTGGACGATACTATGGTGTAGTATCTTACTTCCTGTCATCAGGAGGAGAAGCTGATCATTGCTGCCCTTTTCTAGCCTTATTTTCTTTCTTATTTAACTGGAGTAACCAGATGCCAACTATAGAATCATAGAACAGTTTGGGTAGGAAAGGACCATAAGATCATCCAGTTCCAACCCCCTGCCATGGGCAGGGACACCTCACACTAAACCATGGCACCCAAGGCTCTGTCCAACCTGGCCTTGAACACTGCCAGGGATGGAGCATTCACAACCTCCCTGGGGAACCCATTCCAGTACCTCACCTATTTGCCATTCCCCACCACGCACTCCACAGCCTCACCTCTCACTCTGACAAAGGGGGAGGCAGAGAGAAGGGAAGACGCCCGTGGGGCATGAGACCAACCTCCTCTTGCAAGTGTCCGATGTCTATTTCCCAGGGAGCGCCACGGAAGATTTCCACGGGTGGTTCCCAGCCATTGCGGAATTTGGGGATGTAGGTGGGAATGTTTGCTTCCCGCGGCCATTCGGCTCTAGGACACGAAGCAGGGAATACCTGGTGAGATCCATGTCTCCAAAAGCACATCAGGGAGGGATTGGGGGCATCCTTGACCCCCTGCCATGGCTGTAATGGCAAGCACTCTCTTGGGGACCCTGGTGGGGCAGCAGCTCCATCCTCACCTGGATCTGGTCCATGTCTCCCCCAGGGAGTCCCAGAGGTTTATCTCCTTTGGTGTGAGGTGTCCTCGCAGGAAATCTGTGGCGTCTTTGGAAAGAAGGGGGCTGACGACAGACCTGGCGAGGTCGGGGCCCCCGCAGCTATTGATGATCTGGATCACACACAAACAGAGGTTTGGTAGGAAACGTTCAATATATCAAAGCAGAACACACACAAAGGAACAGGAATCAGAGACACAAGAATCAGTGGCTCTGATGCTTTGAAGTATCTGTGTCTGCCCAAAGAACCAGGCTAATTCACACTAGACTTGTGCTTCCAAAGTTCTCCTCTTTGCCTTCATCTGTAAGATGGACTAAGTTACTGCTTTGCTGTCACCTAAAAGAGCCACTGCATTCCCTCAGCATCCCTTTATTGTCCTCACACTGCACTGAGAGTGCTTGACTTTAAGAAAAAGCAAATAGTAGATAGTTCCTATGTTCCCTAAGGTATAAAATGAAGGCCAGAGGACAAACCTTCATGCTGAGGGGTGACCTGAGTCCTCTTGGCAGCAGCTGATCCCTAGATTAACCAGGTTCAAAAAGCCCTTCAAGCTCATCCAGTCCAACCATTCCCTAGCACTGCCAAAGCCACCCCTAACCCATGGCACTGAGGCCTCGTCTCCATGGGATGTGAACACTTGCAGGGCTGGTGCCTGCAGCCCTGCCCTGGGCAGCCTGTTCCAATGCCTGAGCACCCTCTGGGGCGCAGGAATTGTCCATACAAAGCAAATCACAGTGAAACCAGTGAATGAGGTTTACCAGTTCCAGTGGCCCAAATAGGAAGTGCACCAGCTCCGAGGCGCTGGGGTTCTGGATGTGCTTCCTCAGCTTGGCCTGGAAAGGGAAAGGAAACCCAGTTTAACTCCAGCCTGCTTTTGCCTTCTGTTTTCTGTCGCATGGAGGGACTGCTGCTGTTTGCTGTAGTCAACAACAGCCTGAGAAGTAAAGGAACTTCCAACAGTGCACCTGAAATCAGGGCAGAAGAGTGAGCGAGGAGTGGGAATCCTCCAGTTTTAGCTGTAAGAGTGCTAAAGGTCAGAAGGGGTGAGGTACCTACTGTGTTAAAATCAGTCCTTTCAGAGCTCTTTTATAGAACCCCAGCCTGGTTTGGGTTGAAAGGACCTTAAAGCTCCTCCAGTCCCAACCCCTGCCCCAGGCAGGGACCCCTTCCACTGGAGCAGCTTGCTCCAAGCCCCTGTGTCCAACCTGGCCTTGAGCACTCACAGCTTCACAAATGCTTTGAGGCAGGGCTGTGTCTGTGAAGGGATCCAGGCAGCGCAGGGCCTCCTCTGCCTGCTCACTCCCATCCTGGATGTTATGCTTCTAGTTTCAGTTTCACAGCTTGGCCTAAGCACCCTGCACAAGGTGTGTTCTGAAGGGTCTGGAATTCACACCTTTGTCCCTTCATAGCGTTTTTAGTTCAATTTTCACTTTAAATGCTTGTTACATGATATATGGGGAAAAGCCCTGTCACTGCATGGGATGGAAACACCCTCTGTGTCTTACCAAGAGGTTAAAAGCCAGCTTGGTTTTCTGGAAGCAGTCGATGAACTCGGCCTCACTTGGGGGTCTTGCTCGGAGAGTCAGCACACCCTCTGCATGAGGAGGGAGAGAGAAGGACACTGTCATTAGAGCATCCCTGTTCAGGTAGGGTTCACCTTGCTGGCGTGTAGAAGACATGGCAGTAATGGGTGCTGAGATGAGAACTACTGTAAGTCAAAGGTTCAGGAAAAGTGAGAAGTGTTTCTGTGTGCTCTGTGTGTTCTGTGAGAGCTCCCCACACACCAGCAGCACCTTCCTAACTGGTGTAGCTGCTGTTGGGTCTATAGCTGTTGCTGCATCTATCTAAGGAGTCATCCCAACCTTCGTAGAAACATGGAATGGTTTGTGTTGGAAGGGGCCTTAAAGCTCCTCCAGTTCCAGGGCAGGGACCCTTCCACTGGAGCAGCTTGCTCCAAGCCCCTGGGTCCAACCTGGCCTTGAGCACTGCCAGGATGTTCATCCATGCCCCTGTGCTCCCTGTTTCTCCCAGCTGCTGCATGTACCTGCTGGCCCTTTCTTCTTGTTCTTCTTCCCTTTCTTCCTCTGGTTGAGCTGCCTGAATGCCTCTGCAGCCTTCTGAAGCCTGGCGACAAACACCTCAATGTCATCCAGAGTGCAGTTCAGGATTTGCTGTGAGGACACAAATGCAACAAAGCCAAGTGAATCCCTGAGTGTGCTGTCCTGCTCCTGCCTCACTTCCTGCAGGAATGCGCAGGAACAGGGAATCCAGGCATGGAATTAAGCTGAATTCATCACTTCCCAAACACAAAGCTGTGCCTCGTGCTTATCACTTATCAATGTGACAAGTGACCCCTGCTAATGGATGGCTGGAAAACAACCCCAAGACCAGGCTGTGAGCTAGGGAGGAGCAGAGCTGAAATCAGCAGAGCTGCCTCTGCTCAAAGGGAACTGTAACCAACACAGTGATGGAGCTCTGCTTTTGGTCACCTTATCTTCATGCACAGTAGATAGCAGTTTGGCAATGACTGGGCATTAAGTATCTGTTCATGGAAGAGCCCTTTGCTTCCCTCCTCTCTTCTCCCTACTGACCACTTGCCCTTCTTGTTACCTACCGTTTCCTTCTCAATCTTCTGTGCTAGGATGGCTCGGGACTCCTCGTGGTCGTGGCAGCCGGAGCCTCGTCGCTCATAGTCTGCAGAGGAGGCAGGGAGAGAAAATGGATTTACTCCGAGTTTGAAAATGGGCTCCATTAAATACAGGGGTAGCCTCTTGTGACGTGAATGTGTCAGCTCGGTATAACAGGGTTCAAAAGGGCCGGGGCAGGAGGTGTTGGGACAGGGGGATATCAAGGGGGAGGCCTGGGGAGGCAGTTCTGGCTAAGGACCATATAAAACTATATGTCATGTTTAAGATGAGGCAAACAGTTTTGACAAGTAGTATATGGAACACAATAAGGTGTGTTTCAAAGGAGAAGCAGTAACTGAATCAGAATAGTTTGGGTTGGAAAGGACCTTAAAGCTCATAGAGTTCCAGTCCCTGCCCTGGCCAGGGATACCGTCCACTAGAGCAGCTTGCTGCAAGCTCTGTCCAGCCTGGCCTTGAATGCTGCCAGGGATGGGGCAGCTCTGAAATATAGATCTTATGTTCATTATACAAAACTGGCCCTGCAATAGGCTCAGTGTGGGAGGCCTGAGCATCTGGTTGCCTTCCGATCCCATCCTGAGGAAACGAGTGGTTCCTTTCCTCAGCTGGTGTTTGGAGTTTTTTACGGTACCCTGGTTATGTGTGTTCCTTATACCTAGAAACTGATCCTAAGAGAAGGTGGTGCGATGGGCAGTGATGAGAGGTTACAGTTTGCTCACCATTTAATCAGTGTGAGCTTTTGTCAGAGCAAAGACTTCTTTCTTGAAAGGGAAATACAGGTTTTCTCAAGCCAGCTCCAAGAGGCTGAAGTCAGGATGCTTTTGGAATAAGATTTAGATCAGCACATGATGGAGGTGAGTCCAGATCTGCAATTCCACACTGAACTCGGATTCATACAAACTGCTTTATTTGAGAGTGAAATCTTGGCTCCTGCCAAGTCAGCAGAGGCAGGAATTTGCCTTTCTCATTAGGTCTTTTTAAGATGGTCCAAAGTTGATGGCTCAGTTTTCCAAGGGGCTTTCAGCTATTTTGGGAATTTCAGTATCCCAGGTAGTGTTGTTACAAGGAGTTTAAAGGAGCTTTGATTTATGGAGCTGTGGTTGAGCAGAAGATGCTTCCTGTGAGCCCAGTGAGTACCAGTGTTTGCCATGGCTGATGTTTAGGCATTTACAAAGCACAGCAGAGATGCAATAACATGCTATGCCTCTGGTATGGGTTTCCCTGTGCTCCAGCAGGACAGGGTGACCATAGGCCATTTCGAGAGGGTTGGGAATCCCACCGCTTGCCCAGTGCTCCCAGTACCTGGATCGTGCTGGGAAGGGGGTGCCACCCGGTTCCTGTTCATCGCTGAGCCTCTTGCATCGTGCTGGATCGGGATAGGAGCTGGCCCCTGTGGTGGTGGGAGGATGGATTGCCTCTGCCTGATCTTCTCCTGGTTTGCTCTGCAAAGGGAAGACACACAGAACCACCCTGTCAGGGCTCATCCTGTCTCTGAGGCTTCTGAAAATGGGTTTCTTTACTCCCAGTTGTATCACAGAACCCCGGCCTGGTTTGGGTTGGAAGGGACCTTAAAGCTCCTCCAGCTCCAACCCCAACCCCTTCCACTGGAGCAGCTTGCTCCAAGCCCCTGTGTCCTTGAGCACTGCCAGGGATGGGGCAGCCACAGCTTCTCTGGGCACCCTGTGCCAGCGCCTCAGCACCCTCACAGGGAACAGCTTCTGCCTAAGTAGAACAGGAAGGAACTTCCTTGGCTTCTTATTGAAGTCAGGAAAACTTGAAACCCGCTTGATCTGCCAGGTGGAAGTATCCCACAGGACTCACTTGAGTGTCTGTGGCCGTATCTTCTTCCCATGCTTGTGGTCTGCCAGGGCACTTTCAATGTCCTCATGGACCATCTCCGCCTCAAAGACAAAACAGGGATGTTTTAGGGGCTTTGCTCTGGAAGGGTTTGAAGGCTTTAAGTGGGTGCAGGAGGAAGAGCACAGTTTGGTCTCTGTTTCACCCCAGCAGTGGGGGCTCTGCTCACCTCCACCTCGTCGCAGTTGAAGAAGTGAATGTCAGGTTTGTGCTGCTCGGAATCCTGGCACACCAGGAGGAGGATGGAGGAATAACGCATCTGGTTCAGCACCGTCTGGCAGTGCTGGACTGTGGGCAGTGGAAAGTCCTCCAGCTCCTCCTGCAAGAGGAAGAGGAAGGGGTCAGGCAATGGGGAAGCACTGAACTCATGGGGAATGGTCCCATGGGTGAGCTCCTAGGATTCCTGTTTGAGGAGGGGGACCTGGCAGAGCTTGTGCTTCTCCACTGTGGCTTGTTGGGCTCTGCAAGGACACATGTGAAGGTTTGCAGAGGGCCAGTGGCTTGGGACCGTGCAATAGGACAGAGGTGGATGGCAGAGGTGAGCTCTTGTTCTCCTCCAAGTTCTCTATATGGGGCCCAGTCTGAGGCTTCAAGAACTTGAGTTTTGCTGCTCACCATCACCTTACTGCTGTGCTCTGCCTGCACCAGTACAGTCGTCATGCATCCCAGCAGTGCACTGGGAGGAAAGATGCTTTGTGTGAGGAGTGCACCCTCCCACTGTGTCCTTGGATGACCTTGGGCTTGTATTCTTTAGTTTCTCATTGCTCAAATCAGGGCAGACTCTCCCACCATCTGGATGCTCTTTCCCTTTGGATTAGGTGTCCTATGCGGGTGTGTGTGTATTGCCTGTCAAAACAGGGCACTGCTCTTGGGCAGGTGATCCTGTGTGTTGTTTCAATACAAGTAGTATTGTCCTTCCCTCTGCTCGTGCCTTATGAGGATCTCTGTGGACCTGTCAGTGCATCGCTCCCACAGAAAGCCTGAAGGTATCTTTCACCTGGAGTATCTGCACTCTGGAGCTGTCACCTCACACCTACCTGCCCTTTGAGTTAGAGCCAGCCCCTGTTCACTCAGGAGTGGATTCCGCTGGGATTCACCCTAATTTGGGCTCCTTGCACATGTCCCTCCCACGCAGGATAGGAAGGGAATGGGCTGTACCCCACATGTTGTTCCATGGGGAGCTCTGGTACCTGTGACTCGCAGTCCAGGAGGCGGATGGACTTGTCATTCACTTGCAGCAGCATCTCCTGTGTCCAGATCTTCTCTTTGGAGTTGAGCAGGATGAGTTTCCGGATGGCATCATCCACTGTCACAATGGACTCGCTCTTGTCCATGATGAAAGTGGCCAAGTGCTGGAGTTGGGGGGGGGGAAAGAAGGGAAAAAACAGGTGAAAAAGGCTTGGTGGTGTGTGTGAATCAGTGTGAAACCATCTCTAAAGGCTTGAACTCCTCTTTGCCTGCTCCCTAGAGCACAGGGAGGAGAGAGTTGCAGCAGAATGTGTATGTTCTGGTGGTTAGCACCAGCCTGGCCGCAGTGGTGAAAGATCTGGGTGTTGTAATGCACCACAATGAGTTTCACCACCCATATTTATCTCCCTGTATGTCACTTCAGCACCTCTGGCCCCCATCCAGCAGTGCGGGTGCCTTGTACACAGGAGTTAGTCCCTGGCTTGCCTCGCACTGACTTGGAAGCTTCAATATGGGAGTTAAGCTCCACGTGCCAAGCTAAAAGCAGTTGCATTCCATGCGAGGGGAATGCTGGGCAGGGAGGCAGCTGCAGCAGGAAGCGCATCACATCCCAGTGATGCTTGTGCCCCAGCAGTGGGTGAAGGCCACCCCCGAAATCCAGGCTTATTTCCCTCCCCTCTGATGAGCAGCCAGTGCAGGGAATCATAGAATCATAGAACAGTCAGGGTTGGAAAGGACCTTAAGATCATCCAGTTCCCTGCCATGGGCAGGGACACCTCACACTAAACCATGGCACCCAAGTCTCTGTCCAACCTGGCCTTGAACACTGCCAGGGATGGAGCATTCACAACCTCCTCTGCTGCTCTCTGTGCATGGGGAGAAGGTCCATCTGCCAGCAGAGGGGACCATGAGGCAAGAGAAGCTGGAAGTCTGTCTGACTCTGCAGTGGTCCCTGTGTGACACAGGGCGCAGCCAGGCTATGGTGACAGAAGGGGAAAAGGAGATAATCGGTTGCAGTTGGCTCCAGACAAGGTGGATGCAGAGGGAAAGGCTTGGGTTTAAAGCCCTGATAACCATGACAGGCAGAAGGCTGAGTCCTTAAACATGACGATTGATGTGATGGTGGGAATTGGGTGGATAGGAATGGTGGTAACCAGTTCCCAAGGACTGGAAAGAGCAGAGAAGAGAATAAACCCTGCAGAGCGTAAGACCCAATCCTGTGTTCATAAAGCAAAGGTACTGGGTGAGGCACTGGCCAAATAACACTCCTGGCAGGTATGTGAGCTGAGGGCTGAGATTAGCCACGCAATCAGGCCTGAGAAACATGCTCAGGTGTGTTAGTGTGATGGTAAAACAGTGCATGGGAAGGTATTCACAAAGTCAACACTATCTGTGCAGAGGTGACAAACCCTCTGCTTTCTGAGCAGTGCAGGGAATTGGTTTATACCTGGTGACAGCCATTCTTATCTCTTCTATTATCTTAAAGGCAGGTTTACAGGCTACATAAATTCCTTTGGGGTTTACTGTTCAGTCAGATTTCATGCAGGCGAAAGCTACTTGAGTAACTCAGAGTATTTCCTCTTTTCCATTTCCTTCAAATACTGGTGGAAAGAGAAGGAGAATCTTTGATTTATCCCCTTAACCTCCCTTTTCATCCACATGGATCATAGAATCATAGAATAGTTCGGGTTGGAAAGGACCTTAAGACCATCAAGTTCCAACCCCCCTGCCATGGGCATCTTCAACTATAGTGGCTCTTGTCAGAACGGGCAATGATTCCATCCACTATTAAACTTCAACTTAGAGATGACTTCAAAGGGTGTAAAATGCTTCTTGTAAGGAAACTTTTCTTCCTATCTCGCTGCTGAAATCCTGTTTGCCTCGGTCAGAGTTCAGGGGAAGGACTCACAAGTGGGTGGCATGGGGCATGATTCATGAAGAATTCATGTACGTGTCAGTGGCTAAAGTACCTGCTCTGCTTCCACGAGTGCCTGTGGGGATGGCAGCAGGGCCAGGGCCTCTCTCCCAAGTGAGTGTTTCTTAATGTCTGTGTTTCATTGTAAGCAACTCAACAGGCTCCTTCATGTCTAACCATGGACTGAAGCTCTGCTGGACTGGGGTGTTCAAACCAGAGAAGAGAGGGCTACTAAATACAGAATCATGGAATGGTTTGTGATGGAAGGCACCTTAAAGCTCCTCCAGCTCCAACCCCTGCCACGGGCAGGGACCCCTTCCACTGGAGCAGCTTGCTCCAAGCCCCTGTGTCCAACCTGGCCTTGAGCACTGCCAGGGATGGGGCAGCCACAGCTTCTCTGGGCACCCTGTGCCAGCGCCTCAGCACCCTCACAGGGAAGAGCTTCTGCCTAAGAGCTCAGCTCAGTCTCCCCTCGGGCAGGTTCAAGCCATTCCCCTTGGCCTGGCCCTACAGGCCCTAATGAAGAGTCCATCCCCAGCATCCCTATAGGCCCCCTTCAGACACTGGAAGCTGCTCTGAGGTCTCCACGCAGCTTCTCTTCTCCAGGCTGAACGGCCCCAACTTTCTCAGCCTATCTTCATACAGGAGCTGCTCCAGCCCCTGAGCATCCTCGTGGCCTCCTCTGGCCTTGCTCCAACAGCTCCATGTCCTTATGTTGAGGACACCAGAACTGCACCCAGTGCTGCAAGTGGGGTCTCACGAGAGCAGAGCAGAGGGGCAGGATCACCTCCTTTGACCTGCTGCTCATGCTCCTATATGATCCTCTTAAAAGTGTTTTCCTTTCTCCCCTTGCCCAGTTTGCAGTGGGAATGGTCCGGTTGGCCTCAGATGGGCAGCTCCATCCCATGGTGGTCAGCACTGGTGTATTCCGTTACAGGAATTGCCAGGCTTGGGACATTCAGGCTGGCTCCTTTTCTTTGAGTGGTTGCCTGTGACACTGGGAGCTGCATTTGGCTGAGTTCCCGTTGTGGTTGCAGGGTTTTGGGTTACCTGAGAGGACACAGTAGCTGGGGGGGAGCTGAAAGGTGATAGTCCATGGGGGCTCTGTTGTATGGGCAGATGAGGGAGCCCTGCATTTAACCTGTCTGTGCTGATCAAGGAGGGTTTGAAGCACAGGGTGATGAGGGATGGCAGCTCCCACTGCTCATCAGATGGAAGAGAGGGAAGGGAAGGAGGACAAGAGCAGCTCCATTTCCTGTTTCCCTGTGCAGAATACCCTCGTCCTTTTAACACCTTTTTTCCTCCATTCTCATCCCCCCAGTTACTATGCACTTTCATTTGCTGAATCTTGATTATTCAGACAGGGAAGTTGTGATAAATGATGGGTTCATGGGCCATTTTCAACTTAAACTGAAAGCACAAAAGAGGTCCATGTGCAATGAAACCCATTTGGCATGTTGGCATCATTCCTGTCCTCCCTTCCCATCAGTGGTTCTCCATTTGCAGGCTGCAATGACAGTGTCTGGCTGAATGACTGAGCAGCACTGGCTCTACAGCAGGTCCCTGAGGCACTGACTTCCCGTGCTCATGTCACACCTCCTACAAGAGGATGGAGTTGCTGACCCCAGTGTCCACAAACCTTGGTCCTAGATGGAGCCCAGGAAGGGAAAGGGGTCAAACCAGTGAGTTCCTAGCTTTGGTTCAGGTCACCCACTGGCTGTACAGCAGCAATGTGGTCCCTGTTTCTCTCCCCATCCCCAAAGCAGTGTCTGACATGGATGTCTCCCACTCTTCAGTTCAAAGAAACATGTGGGATCCCAGGGAGGGGCAATTATATGGCCAGGGGTGACCTGTGTCATGGGAGAAGCCACCAAAGCTTCGACCCAGCTTTGTTACAGGGTTTGGGGGTGATTCAGAGCTATGCCATGGCTCTTTGTAGCCTTGGGAGGATCTGAGCTGTACCAGAGACTCTTTGCTTGGGCTTCCAAATAATGCTGTTCTGTAATGGAACTCTGGAGAGCAGCAGGGAAATGAGAGATGCAGGAGAGCATCCAGTCCAGCATGAAACCTCTGATTCATAAGGAGGACTGGGGTCAGTCTTAGGAGAGGAATTGTCTCAGGGCTTGTCCTGCTCTCATAGTCCTTTATGAGAGGAGTGTCATGCAAAAATTCCTGTGGATGCTCTTTCCTTTCCTACCCTTTTGTGCTCATAGGAATCATACGAGAAGCTTGGATGACCCCAGCTTCAGTGTATGTGATGGAGAGGGCTTGTGTGGCCTCCTCCCCAGGTGCAGGCTGGCAGGACCATGCTGGTAATTCCCTCAAGGAAGGAAAACTACTGCAGATGGCTAAGTCTGAAAGTGTGCCCTACAGCCCAGGAGCTGGAAATAGGGTGTGAACCCAGCTTGGGAGCTAAGTGTTCCTATAGGACCAGGAACTGTGGAAAAGAAACATGAGTTTCAAGCAGCTTTGTGTTTGCCTCTCAGGGTGTGAATCACAGAATGGTTTGGATTGCAATGGACCTTAAAGAGCAACTCTTATTCTAAGAAGCCACCCAACTCCTCTTTGGCCTAATGAAGGTGTAGGACCCATAAACCACTCTGTGTTACCAGCACCTATCACTGACGCCGGCCTTGCAGCCCGTAGGGTTTCATTGCATGCTCACCTGTACGTGGTACTGTGATGTCTCGTGCATGATGATGTTGGAGTTGGAGTATTTTTTTCTTTGTTCTGCAACAACAAGAAGAAAATAAGGCTTCAGTGGGGTGCTGCAGTTATTCCCATCATCTCTGAGCTTCCAGCTTCAGTGGGGGTATTGGGAATAGTAAGAGACACTAATGATATTAACTTTTGTAACAGGGATTGACATGTTGGTGCGTAGGGGACAGAATCCCAGCGTCATTAGGGTTAGAAGGGACCTCTGGAGATCATCACAGGGGAGATTTAGGGTGGAGATAAGGCAGAAGCTCTTCCCTGTGAGGGTGCTGAGGCGCTGGCACAGGGTGCCCAGAGAAGCTGTGGCTGCCCCATCCCTGGCAGTGCTCAAGGCCAGGTTGGACACAGGGGCTTGGAGCAAGCTGCTCCAGTAGAAGGGGTTGGGGTTGGAACTGGAGGAGCTTTAAGGTCCCTTCCAGCCCAAACCAGGCTGGGATTCTGTGCTTTGTGATCTGCAGCCTGGATCTTTAACCCTTCCTGGCTTTAACTCAAACCTGAGCACTAGGAAGGGAGATTCCGGTGTTCCAGCATCGTGCTGTCCTTCATCCCAAACCACTCCATGATGCTGTGATTCTATAACAGCCCTTGAATCATCCTCCAGCAGGAACCTTCTGCACTGCTGTGATGTTTTAGTTTGCTTTCTGGTGTTTCCTGGCAAGCCACAGCAAAGGGCTGTACTTAGAGATAGGGATCAAGGGCAGGCAGAGCCTGAGTTCCTTGTACAATGTTTGTATGAGGCAAGGGATGTTCCTTCACTTCCTGCATTTCTCACTGGAAGGTGGCAGTAAGGAGCAACTGGGAGGAAACTGCTTGGAATTGTATGAGGTCATTGAAGAGAATCCTGTAAGAATTTCCTCTGCCACCTCTTTCATTGGTGCTTGGCCAGGGATTCCTCCTAAATACTTGGCTGGAATAGCAGAGGAGTAACCATCCCAGCCCAGAGTGATCTCAGACATCTTCCTCACCACCTCTGATCCCTGCTCGCCTTAAATGCAAAGGCAGTTCTAGACATCTGCACCCTTCTTAAACCCTGACTTACAACACCCTCTCCTCTGTTGCCACACTCACAACCAAGGGGCTTTCAGAACACAGCCAGTGTGGTTTAGAGCAGGATGTATTAACCTTCGTTTAGTTGTGGTTTACTTCAAAGCTCTGTAACGCCTTCTGGGGGCCGGGGGCTTCTCTCTGGCACCCAGAAACATCCCATAGGAATTCATGTGCTTTCTTTCCAAATTTATTAAGGAAAGGATCTTTTGGTGGAGGGGTGCAGCACCCACAAGGCCCAGGTGAGAGAGGATGAGTCTGTTCTGAAGGGCAGACAGTGCAGTGAAGTGATGATCAAGGAGAGGCTGGAGGTGGGAAGGAGTCTGGATAAGGAGCAGTGATCACTGGCCAGGCCATGGGCAACCAGGGCTCTGGTCACCCCTTGGGTGAGGACATCAGCCTAATAGAATCATAGAACAGTTAGGGTTGGAAAGGAGCTTAAGATCATCCAGTTCCAACCCCCTGCCATGGGCAGGGACACCTCACACTAAACCATGGCACCCAAGGCTCTGTCCAACCTGGCCTTGAACACTGCCAGGGATGGAGCATTCACAACCTCCCTGGGCACCCATTCCAGTGCCTCAGCACCCTCACAGGAAAGAATTTCCTCCTTAGATCCAATCTAAACTTCCCCTGTTTCAGTTTGAACCCATTACCCCTTGTCCTGTCACTGCAGTCCCTAATGAAGAGTCCCTCCCCAGCATCCCTATAGGCCCCCTTCAGACACTGGAAGCTGCTCTGAGGTCTCCACGCAGCTTCTCTTCTCCAGGCTGAACAGCCCCAACTTTCTCAGCCTATCTCCATACAGGAGCTGCTCCAGCCCCTGAGCATCCTCGTGGCCTCCTCTGGACTTGTTCCAACAGTTCCATGTCCTTTTTATGTTGAGGACACCAGAACTGCACACAATGCTCCAGGGGAGGTCTCATGAGAACAGAATAAAGGGGCAGGATCAGCTCCTTGGACCTGCTGGTCACAGCAGGTGCTGGTAATGTAGCTCCTGCCTGGGGCCACCGTGGGTTATTGGACATCTCCTTTTGCTGCCCTCTGGAAGGTGGTTTGCTTCCTTTTCGTGTGTCCAGCAGGACAAATCCCTGCCTCTGCAAGGAATTCTTTCCTAGTTTGCCTCTGTGCAAATCCTTTCCCTTCTGGGGAAGGGATGAAGGAGCTCGAGTGGCAGTTCTGCCTTTACCACTGCTGGTGTCCTGCTTTTCCATCCCCTGTCCCTTATGTAAAGTGACTGTTTCCTATCTGCTGCTGCTCCTACTGAAGTTACTACACCATTTGTCCCCCCCCATGCAGTGGCTTCTCAGTGCCCACTATGGCCAGACATGGTCTCCCTCGGTGCTGCCTTTGCCCCTGGCTGTGATGAGGCACAAATGGCTCTGCAGACAGAGAATCCACCCAGCCCCATCCCTGAGGATGGAGCAAGGTGGGCTCCCTTAGGAGTCAGCAGGTTCTCCTGCACCCTGGCCACCAAAGGAGGAAGAGTGGGTGATAGGAGCAGGGACAAAGGGGGAGTGGAGGGGAGCAGGGCCCCGATCTGCTTTTGTGGTGTTTGCACATCTGTTATCAGGCTCTTTACAAGTGTATCTTATCGTGGCTGCTGTGGGAGGGACTGGGGGGGACTCCCAGGTCAGGGATTGGAGCTGGAACGTGTTCAGGGAAAGGGGAGCATGAGTGGTGGCCCTGCCTGCCTTGGGCTCTGCATGGGGAGAGGCCCAGCAGGGGCATGGAGGGGAAGAGGGCACCCACCAAAGGGAAAGCTTCATTGCAACACAAGCAGTGACTAGGGCTGTCCAGGGCAGGGCTGCAGGTACCAGCCCTGCAAGTGCTCACACCCCATAGAGACGAGGCCTCAGTGCCATGGGTTAGTGCTGGCCTTGGCAGTGCTGGGCTGGATGAGCTTAAAGGGCTGCTCCAATGCAGCTGATTCTGTGAAGCACTGCTGCTCTGCCAGCCTTTTCCTTCTCTTCTGGCTATATCCCAGTACAAACCATCTCTGACCACTTCACCCCAAGCCAGCACAACCCCTGGTTGCTCCCAAACCGCGGAGTTGCTTTCTGCTGTCCTTTACCCCTCCAAAGCTACCAGGAATCACTGAGACCCCTGCAAGCAGACACCACCTCCGGCAGCTGCCCCAGCACCGGTTCAGACCATGCATCCTGTCCATCCCTGTCCCTGAGCTTGCTTGGGTGAACTTGTCCCCCCCCACACACAGTTACATGGAGACAGCGGAGGGGTCAGTGCACTGCAGGGATAGGGCAGAAATGAAGGTCAGGGTCAGGAAGGATGGAGGCTCCTGAAGGTGGTCATAGTGATGAAGAAGAAGCCCAAGTGTTTGTGGGGGGTAATCTGCCACCTCTGATGCGTGTTCTCTTGTAAGCCTTGCAAGCAGCAGAGTGCTGGCAAGGAGGAAATGCAGCAAAGAGAGCACCTTTCTGTGCCAGGAGCAGAAAACAACCCCCAAAGCAACCAGTGTGGAGCTTTAGCTTAGTCCTGAGGATGTTCTTGTATCCACTTCTCACCTGAATAGCTCCTACTTAAACCTCCTGCCAGCAAAGGAAGGAGAAGCTGGATCTGCTGCTTCCCCAGACAGTTAACAGAGGCACATGCCTCCTGAGCACTGCTTGCCAGGATCCCTGTGAGTGATTCCTGTACACTCCTTCCTCACGTGTGTGTGTGCTCCTGCATGGAACATGCAGCTTCATGCCCAGATTTCTCCTCTCTAGAACGTGATGGGATTTCCAACCAGCCCAGCCAGGCCCTGGAATGCTCCTGGTTCACTTTGAGCTCAGACCCCTTGGTGATGTGGGGGTCCTTTGGCTGTCCCAGAAGCAGAGGCTGGTGGGGAGGGTGCTTAGAGACTGGTTATGGCTGCACAAGCTCAGGTACGTTACAGTGTGGGTCTTTCCCATGTTCTCTTGTTGTGTCTGCTTGGTGCTCTTGCTCCTGTGACCTGCCCTGGTTTGGGGCTGCAAAGTGCTGCTGGAGGTGGGCCTGGGCCTTGGGACACGTGCAGTTTGCAGCCTGCTTTGCCTTTGGGTTCCACCTTAGTAGCGTGAACATTCCCTCTGGGTTCCCTCTGTCATGCTCTTATTCCTTGGATTCCAGGGAGGCAGGATGAGTGTGGTCCAGCTCAGCCCTATGGACATTGCCAGCAGGTGTCTCTCCAGAACAAGCTTTCCATGGGGTTTAGCTTGGGGTTTGCACCATTCCTTTGGCCAGCAGAGAAGAGCTTTTAATTTAAGCTCCTCTTGGTGCTGCTCCGAAGTCACAGGGCTGAGCAATGGCACCAAACCCCTCTATGGCCACGGGAGCACACTAACCATACAAAGATAACCTGCATCAAAAGAGAGGGGCTGCTTTCATTCAGAGCTTGGCAGGGGTTGAGAGAAGCTGGTTTCAAGCTGACTCTAAAGCTTGTAAGCCCTTGTCCAACACTTTAAGCCTGTGCCATCAGCTTGGCAGGACACCCGAGTGCTTTGCACCCTGTATCCCTGTGCCTGCAAACACAGCTTGAGCTCTGCCTCTGCCTGATCCTGGCAGCCCTGAAGTGGCTGCTGCTGGCAAACAGAAATGGCTTGTTGATGGACATGTATGGAGGCCTCAGAGCAGCTTCCAGTGTCTGAAAGGGGATACAGGGATGCTGGAGAGGGACTCTTCATCAGGGATGGCAGTGATGGGACAAGGGGTGATGGGTTCAGACTGAAACAGGGGAAGGTCAGGTTGGAGATAAGGCAGAAGCTCTTCCCTGTGAGGGTGCTGAGGCGCTGGCACAGGGTGCCCAGAGAAGCTGTGGCTGCCCCATCCCTGGCAGTGCTCAAGGCCAGGTTGGACACAGGGGCTTGGAGCAAGCTGCTCCAGTGGAAGGGGTTGGGGTTGGAGGAGCTTTCAGGTCCCTTCCAACCCAAACCAGGCCGGGGTTCTGTGCTCCCAGAGGTGTTAATGGAGGTGCCAGGTTTCCCTTTGAC